CACGCCCCCGATGCAAGTAAAACAAAGTAAGGTGACATGGTTTACTTTTTTGCGGATTTAACCTAATTTTAAAAACTTTAATACTTCCGACAATGGACGTTTTGAAAAGAAGACCCATTACGAATTTAGCCAGCGTTTTTTTCATGATTCTACATTAAGATTTCAGCGAGATATAAACTGAAATAGACGCAAAAAGTACGCGATGTCGCCGACGACATACTCGACCCCAGAGGAAGAGCTCCAGAGTAGCACGGGGAGACACTCTGTAATCAGAGCTCCCACATAGTGCTGTATGAATCTACTGTACATCTTTAATCAGATATTTTCTGCAGTTACTATGTGTCCACTCAGCTGAGGTATGGAACTGTTGTATACTTTTGATTGGATTATATAGTTTAGGACTTGTGGCCACATGTTTCTCAGAGACTGGGGTTATTCTGACACTCTCTTGCAAGCCTCTGACTTGACCCCGTTTCTCCGAGATCCGTTGCGACTGCCCAAGTTGAGTTACGGTGAATACCGGCCCAGCCTCTGAGGCATGCACACGCTGGGTTACAGCAAAGTCCGGCCCAGCCTCTGAGGCGCGCACACGCTGGGTTATGGTAATAGACCGGCCCAGCCTCTGAGGTACGCACACGCTGGGTTACGGTAACGTCCGGCTCAGCCTCTGAGGTACGCACACGCTGGGTTACGGTAACGTCCGGCTCAGCCTCTGAGGTACGCACACGCTGGGTTACGGTAACGTCCGGCTCAGCCTCTGAAGTGCGCACACGCTGGGTTACGGTAACGTCCGGCTCAGCCTCTGAGGCGTGCACACACTGAGTTACGGCACCAAATCCGGCCCAGCCTCTGAGGCGTGCACACGCTGAGTTACGGCAGACATCGGCTTAACCTCTGTGGCCCTCACTAGCTCGGATTCGGCAATGGTCAGCTGAGCCTCTGAGGCGTTATGGGCCGCCGGGTCCTGACGGGTATCTAGGCTGGCACTGTATTACATTGTAGTGATTTCCCAACTTCTAAACCTACATAGCAGATCCCTGGATCGCCCTATCGGCCGAGGCGAATCCGATGTGCCCCACTGTCCGGGATTAGTGGGAGTTCAGCAATAGAAGGCACAGCCCAGGGGTAATCTAAATAACAGACATGTCATGACTAAACTTGCCAATAAAGATCTTTACTAAAATGGAGTCAGATATAATTCGGTCTTTATCGAAAACGGGTAAGTAACTTTACAGAAGCGCTCGGAAGGATCCACATGCATTGCAATCCTTCGCTGTCCAATTGGATTCCGCCATTGGGCCAGCGGACGGTTCCCCTACACTGGTAAACTGGCACTGAAAGCAGCAAATACAGGAAAGTAAAGGCCAGACTCCATGAGTTTAAAGGTCTGAGTGAGAAGATAAGAGCACTTCTAACACTGGGTGAGCTTTCTAAACAGTAAACTGTTTTCTTTTTTTATACTGAGAGAGTGCAGCATTTATTCATCCATCTGTCCAATGTAATACCTATCCAGTATGCTCTTTAATGATTTAAAGGTACAGCATCAGTCAAAAGTTTGCACACACCGATTGAAAATCATTTGTTTTTCAACAAGATAGCAACCCTAAGCACACCTCACGCGTATGTCCTTCAGACACTCACACTGTAAGAGGACGGCTGTCTCTCTTTCTGTGTTGTTCTTATTTCACTTATTGCTTTAACTTATGCTGCTAAACAGAGAGCTGCTAAACTGTGTTTCACTGTTTCTGTAATAGTGACAATAAAGATCTTACCTTATGTAAGTGCTACATTATTTTGTGAACAAGGAAAGAGATGCTTTTACGGGGGACCCGGCCGCCACAATCCCACGAGCTAAAGCCTATAGTGCCGGTTTGGGATGAGTTGGATTGAAGCGTAAGAGCAAGGTAGCCAGCTTGTGCCCAGAACTTCTGGAAGCTCCTTCAGGAATGCTGGAGAAGCGTTCCAGGCGGCAACCCCGGAAGGTGGTTGAAAGAATAACATTTGAGGAAATTTTGAGATGTTGAACGTTTCTCTTGGTCGTTGTAACTGATACATTCTGAAGTATATATTTTGATATATTTTATTGCTTATTAGTATTAAGTGAGTAAGATGAAATGGAGACAAATGTATTAAAAGCAGGTCTATCCAGACTTTTCACTGGTATAGGGAGTCCCCTGGTTAAGAATGTCGGAACCTAACCCTAACCCTAACTTGTACTTACAAACAGACCGCCATAAAGCCTATTATATTCAAACTTTGGGTTAAATACAATGGCTCGTAGTAACAAACGCACAGACTGCTTTGTGATGCTCATGAAAACATATTATTATTGTTATTTTATTATGTACTGTGTTTTTGTTACTGCAAGTTACCTATAAATTTGACTTAGACATTTGTAATCTGAGAACTGCCTATTCTGTTTATAGGATTGTTCTTTTTTGTTTTCTACTCATTGGTTATAGCCAATATAGGTATAATACAGGGAAACTGTCTGTGTATCCTTTATAGTTTTTTTGTGTGTTTTTTATAGCATTTGACTGCATAGAATCAGTATTCATAGTATTTATGGTGGATTGTTCACAGACATCATGCAGATCTGAATGTGTTCATATAGTATTGGAAGTAAATAAATGACTAGATGAATGGGAAGGATCATCTCTGCCTTAGTTTGAAAAAGCCTGAATAATGAATTCATAGCTCATCATTCCATTTCCAGTGAAGGTTATACAGGCCTGGGTGGATCTGTAGCAGTAGCATCCAAAATGCTCTGCAAAATGGTCATGTGCTGACTACAGGCTGAAGATGATTGAGTGATGGAAGATGCATACAAGCAGTGAGTCAAATAAAGCTTTTGATGCTTTTGAATGCATTTTGCAATCTACATCTCAGAATTTTTCCAAATTTCTCACTCTTCAATTTTTAGTTTCAGTGAAAACATTGCAAACACATGGCATTCTTCCAGCAAGCTTCCAGATGTAGTCACGTGGAATCTTTATTGTCTTGCGCGTCTTGCGTTTGATGAAATGTTGGAAATATTACAGATGTTTATACTTAAGTGAAACATGCAAACTGATTCATTCTAATTTATTTCTAAATATTAGATGTACATTTAGATCCTGTCAATCATTGTATGCACTCAGTATCAACATTATCCTTATCAGAAATTGTTTGCCTATTAAGTTAGATATATAAATGACTGGATTGTGCAATAGTATAGTACTTACCAAATAGAACAGCCATAACATAGTTAGGAATTTGATTTATGAGTCTGAATCCAGCTTTACATACTCCCATGTTAGATGGGCCAATACACAAAATGTATAAATGGGAATCCATCCATCCATTGTTTACGGCCACTTATGCAATGTGTAATGGGTGCCTGGAATCTAATGTGGGGGACAGGACACCATGGACTGGATGCCAGTCCATCATCTGGAATAAGCAAGCAGAACACAGACACCAGTCCACCCAAACTGTCTATCTGTAGGGAAATACATGCATATCCATCTTTTTTGCTGCTTATCCTGGTCAGTGTCACAGGGCCTGGAACCTACCCCAGGTGCAACAGGACACAAGGCTGGGTTCTCCCTGGAAGGGATGCCAGTCCTTCACAAGGCTTGAATACGCGCACATTCACATACAATCATACAACAAGGGACATTTACAGACACCAGTTAGCCTGATGGCATGGAGCAAATTGGACTACCAAGAGGAGACCTGTACACACACACAAACACACAGAGGCAGTGGGACCGCAACCCTCCATAATAATAATAATTATTATTATTATTAACAAGTTCAAAAAAGTAGATTTTTCACAATATGCAAATAGTCCCATTTGTAATATTTTTTAGCATAAGCCAGGGAATGTTGGGAAAAAGAATTTGGGTAAGACCTAAAGCAGTCATATACATGCATTATCCATACCTTCATAATGCATTATAATGCATTCATAAAGTGTCATAAACGCAGCTATAGCTGTTTATACATAGGCATAACAAATTATAACCATGTGTAATATGCATTATGAATGTTTTATGAAACTCTCATCTGTAATGCACTATAGATATCTTCATAATGGATTTTAATGGTCACGTAATGGTTATAAGAATTAAGGAATAAATGCATTATGGAGGTATTTATAGCGCATTATAGATGAGAAGAGGACCAGGACTAATATATCAGCCATAGGGGAGCCCTGACAAAAAAAGGTTTTAATATCATTGGTATATATGGAGGTCTGGAAGGACATGTAGAGGTTTTTTTTCCCTTGTGTACAATAAGCAAGATTTGCAGTAATGGGAGGAGGCACAATTTATGTGTATATGGAATTTGAAATCCCAAACTCCTTATTGTTATTGCAATTGTCCATCTTTGAAGCTAAAGGAGAATTGTTAACATAATAGTAAATTGTACTTTAGTTTTATAAAAAGATCCATCAAATACCTTTCGAGTTATTGTTTTAGTAATAGAGTTCCAAAACTGCCCTCTTTTTGATATCGCTATGCGGTTCTGCTTCAATTTTGGTGTGATCTATCTCAAAACTTAATAATTTTATTCTGCCCTCCTTACAATACCTCTGCAGAGTTTGAAAAAGATCCATCAAATGGTTATTGAGTTATCATCTTAACGGTATCAAACGTCAAAACTGCCTATTTTTTGGTTATCACTATACACTGCTGATTCACTTTTGGGGCCGTCTATCTTAGAGTTTAATCAGTTTGAGTCCCTCACCCATACAATGGCTGTGCATTTTTTTTTTTTAAAAAAGGACATTTTTTGAGTTATTGACTCAACCAAAGTGTCTGCAATGACGGTGGTGGGGGAGGGGGACCAGTGCTAAAACCATAAGTGTTCCATGAATGCCGGGGAATATAATAAATGAAAACAGATTTTGTGAAAACAAATAACACAACAGTCACTGTCATTTTCTATCAATTCAATGCTTTGTTATTGTGATGGAGATAACGGCTTACAGTATTTCCTCTGTTTCGTTCCAGACAAAGAGTGGGGTTTACTTGCTGCAGGATGGTCACCAGGAGCTGTTCAATGTTCGACTGCACTTAGCTAAAGACATTCTGACTCTTCAAGAGCAAGACGTCATTTGTGTATCAGGCGAGCCATTCTATTCAAGCGTGAGTGATGTTTACTTTCTTGTCCTAATCAATGGTCAGACTGCATGTCTGCATATGACTTGCTGCTGCCCTTTGGTCTGGTCTGTTGACTAACTTTCTATAGCTCAGAAGTATCATGATACAGCATACGGGTAAAAGTGTGTGCACAACAGAGTTGGGGCCATTCTGGAATGCATTCATCAATTCCAATCCAATTCAGGAAATGGAGCTGGAGTTGGAATTTAAATCGTCATGAAATTCGAATAAAATTCCAATTCTGCTCCCCATAGTTTTATTCCAATCCAGTTCCATTTCCTGATTTGGCCTGGAATTGATGAATGCATTCCAGAATGGCCCCAACCCTGATGCACACTCTTATTAATTAAAGGGATCGACTAATTAAACCCAGTGGCGGAACAATTGCACACAAGGCCCCGGGGCAAAACACAGATCGCCCCCCCCCCACGCACGCGCACATGCACACACACATATATCTGGCGGTGCCGAGTTTTAAAGTGTAGTTGCAAGAACACAAAAAACTTAACGAGAGACTTCGACTGTCCCTCACAAAAACTGTAAAGTTTTAGTGGCTAAATTGTGTTTTCTACGCCTTTTCAGACAGGAGGAGATTTGTTTGGCTATGCCTAGAAAATAACGTTGTTACCAGTGTGGAGACCGTCAGAGTTTTACCAAGGACAAAAATTCCACCTCCAGCTTCCTGCCCATCTCATCCATTTCTGTTGCAAAAATTACAGTGTATTGTCTAAGTGAATAGGGTATAAGATAATTAATGTGCACACACCGTCTTTCTCATTCTCATAATGCGTCCATGCCTCTGGTTATAGCCCATTCAAATGTCATGTAGCCTAACTTTCATACAATTTAGACAGCACAGAATCATAAACCTACGTTAACGCATTTATTTATACAACCACATACTGTATTTCCCACATTTTGACATCAGTGATGCAGTGACGATAGTCTCTTTATTTCTTGACGCCAACCCTCCCCATTAATCCGGGCTTGGGACCGGCACCTAGTTGAGCTGGCTTGCTCCCTTAAGTGGCTGGGTTAGGCTAAACTATATACATATTTACAAAGACTACAATAAAACATCTCGAAATATGTAGTCTAACAAAACGCAGTTTAAAGAAGGTAGCGTACCTGGCGAAATTGTAAACAAACAAATTAAAAGGCCCACGACATATAATCGGGCTATATACAGTCGTCAGACGGACAAGGACTTTAGGCAGCCTTTAGACCCTACCCATCATGCACTGCAGTTTTTTGCAAATTCCTCAAACGGAAAACCATTAAAAACAAAAGGAACAGCTTAGTTTGACTTCAGAATATTACTATATATTATATTTTAAGTTTGTTGTAGGAATTTTAGATTTTTTTTTTCTAAAAATGAAAAAATACGCCCACCATAATAAAAATGTATACAAAAAATGACATATATGAAATCGCAAGTCACAGTGAAAGGATAAGTAATATGTTCTATCTGTCAAGAACTCCTGATAAATTATATCAGTATAACTTTATGTATATGGGAGGATCCTCTTTTGGCTGGGGGGAGGGCCCTCTACGATCCAGGGGAGGACCCGGGCCCAGTGGCGGTGGCCCCGCCCACCCCGCCTATAGCTCCGCCCCTGATTACACCCCACCCATTGCTCACACGCATTTATAACTACACAACTGCAATCTCCAGCTACAAACATTGGCAAAAGAATACAAAAGAGATTAGTGACCTTCGACTTCATCATAAGTTGCCATCATTTCAGCAGGACAGTTTGCCAACTTTCGACCCTACTATAGCTGCTCCAGTCAAGTGGTTGGCCACAAACTCACAAGAAGGGACTTGATCACCCAATCAATACCCAACCTGAATGGTAGCAAATCCCACCAGCAGTGTTCCAACATCAAATGATCCGTCTTTCCAAAGAGTAGAGGCTATTATAGCGTTATTGTATCAAAGGCCGGACCAATTTCTTATTAGTAGCCTTGGTTTTGGAATAATATGTTGGACACATACCTTTGGACATACTGTATAGTCTGCAGAGTTGGGTTATTCAGGTTCATAGAGTATAAGTCCTGACCAAAATTTTGTTATAACCAAGCAGTTGAGCATAAAGAGTCACAGTCACAGAGTACTCAACTGGTTAGTTGAAACAAAATCCTGGTCTGGACTTTTACTCTGTGGACCTGAATTATCCACCTCTGATAGTCTGTAATAAAACATGACATGAATTCATAGGGTGTGGCTTGTATTCTGCAAGGCTTCAGCACTTAGCATTTAACCAAAGGCCATAACTAAGTGCCTTTCCGTGTTCTTTATTTTTCATGGCTAGATTTATTCTTTATGTCTTTAGGTTTATGTCGGTATTTAGGTTTCAGTATTGACAGCTTCCTTTTGGTGGTGGTGTCCTTTAAATGTTATCGGCCAGGGTTTTTTTTTTTGTTTTGAATATTTCTTGAGCATCCTCATCATCAGTATAACATTACCATCTTGAAGATTCCGGAAGGGATTTACTGAGACCTCTTGCACTACCCTAGATGCTGAAAAACAAGCAGAGCCAGTGGTCAGAGGAGTATATTGCCATAAAGAAAACTGTTGAACAATGAGAGCCCATTTCTGTGAAAAAAAAATTCATAATGTATGACAAAGGCAAAGTGAAATGAAGTTGTACTCAAATAAAATCTGATTGGGAATATTTGGTAAGCAATGCCTCTAGTCACTCAAATTTAAATTAGCTTGTAATGTTCGCAGTTTGTCAGTAATTTTTCAACTATATTGCTTTGAATTTTAAACTAGTTATAACAATTCAAATCTCTTTATGAATTGTTTTATTATCACTAAATACAACAGAGCCAACATTTCCCATAATTCATTGCATTAGATTATTTCAAACACAGTTTATCCTAAACATGAATGCCAAGCATGAGTCATTTTCATTTAAATAAAAACTCAGTCCACCGTTTTGTCTGTAGTAAACAAACTGCCGCAATATGATTAGTATAGTTCTTCACCTAAGAAAATGCAGCAGTAACTTATGATGTAATTTAGATCAAAAGTGGAATTTGAACATTATGGTTATGAACAGGTGTACTCAAACATTTCACTGGTCTAATATGGTGCCCATTGCCTCAAGTTTAACATTGTTGCACAGCTTAGCTGTTCATAGAAAGCTTTCGTTAAAATGTACATAATTCACGAAATGTAAATGTGCACGATTCTTAGTGTTGTTTCGGGAACTTGGAATGCCTTGTTTCAGTTATTTTAAGGTGAAACTAATTCAATATATTAAAATCAAAGTTAATGCCATTATTCAGTTTTCTAAAGAAATCATAGGTCATTTATTTTGGAATCCCTGGGCATAGCTGTGTCAATTGGCATACTGTAGAAATATAGAACATTTTTCAGTAACAATGTATGAGTGGCATAACGAACATTTTCACTAAATATCATGTTCTTATTAGAAGAATCCCCATGAGTAATTAAACATGGTAATTAACAGATTGTTAATGTTCAGCATGTATAGACTGACTTTCCAATAGGTTTAATGTTGTTGTTGATGATGATGATGATGATGAAGTAGACCAGGGAGAGAAAAAAAATGCTGTTGCTCTCGTTTGCTTTCCTCTTCTGTCCTTCTTCCCACGCCCTTTGGGATTCATTTTCTGAGTCCAGTTGCTGTGCCCCCTATCTCTCTGCCAGCAGATTCCCTTGGCTGTGACATGTCAATCTTATCTCTCTTCATGCCACTAATGCTGACTCTTCAGCCTCTTGCACATTCAATTTCCAGCACACTCAGGGTCCCTGTTGCCCAAACTCCCCAAATTTTATTGATATTCTAAGACTGGCTGTTTTCTGTCTCCCCATCATTTCTGGCAGTACGGTTGTTGCCTCTAAATCACTTTGTTTTGGGAAGGCCAATTTATATCTATCAACAGGGCTACCACTAACAGCTATTTTGCTATGGATTCACGTATAGACAGGGCTTTAGATAACAGACGCTGGCTTTTCGGAAGTATAAAGATATCGCTTTCTCCCTCATTTCGATAAGCAGTCTAGTAGTATGTCTAAAATATTAATGAGATGTGAATTGTGATGCCCACAAGTTAGTAATCTGTATCAATCCAGCATATCTTTATGTTTATTAAATTGGGTTAGTGGAGCACGCCACATGGTAGCGTTTCGGTAAATCATGGAAGTGATTATTGGTTAATTAATGTATTAAGTAAGCATGTACTACCACATTATTCATGTCCCCTCCACTAAACTTACCCAATTGTTATAATGAATTGAAGCATCTTAGAAATCATAAGTGTGATTTCGTTAAAATAGTTTTTAAAACGATGGGTCGATTTAAAACATTGATGTCGACTCATCGCAGAAGCCCTGCCTATCACAAAAAATTCCACAAAGATCCTTGGCAGTGGCAACAATGCCTCTTATTTCTGTTCCAACAGTTGACACTAGCTGACGCCTATAACCTTCCTCCTCATCCTCTTTCTGTTAGCTTTGCCATTCCTTTTTCTTATTAGGGGCAGAAATGTATTATTTAAACAATAGTAGATGAAGGCTGTCTCCAGCTTAAAATATTGCATCTGTGAATATGTTGGTCTTCTACACACAGAGTGACACATTTCTTCAGGGTGTCACTTGACTGTCATACTTTCTTACAACCCAAAGACCTGGGGCCTTCATCACCAACCCAAATTTCTTGCATAGTAGGATAATTTTGAGGCCAAGTTGAGGTAACTTTGGCTTTCTAATATCATTTCTTAGCGGGATACATCGCCACGGTAACTCACGCTACACGGCAAACCTTCTCCGGAGGTTCGGGTCACTGATCGCAAACAGAGCTTGGACCAGTGAAAGAGAAGCATCGTAACCTGGAATCAAGTCCAAGCACACGCAGTATTTTGTTAGAGAACACACAAAGAATAATAATAATTGATACTTTATTAAGAAAAGCATATATGAATCATAAACCAGATACTCATGTCCAGGTAAA